TTACCCCCCTAAAACATAGCTCACCTGTTCCGCCTGACAGCCCTAGGCACTAATTGCTCTTGCCTCGCTTAGTGCTAATGCAGGCACACAGATGTCCCCTTATTTCAAGGCTAACTGTTCAACGTCGCCCTGCTTGATGGCACCAAAGCCAGGCATGTGACTGTTAGATGTGCTTCAGAGTAGCTCTGCTGGTAAATTAAGCTTCTTTACCGAGTTGTAGTTTGGGCACTTGTCTCAATTAAACGACCGTCTGCCGTAATGTGCTAGAATCCGCCAGGTGAAACACGAAACACTGCAAACCAAGTCCCTAAATGCTGTTTACACCTCCCACCCGACACACTCCCCTCCCCCGCCGGGCCATGCATTACCGCGCAGATCAATTGATAGATTGTGCTGTCCAAAGTGCCGTAACTAAATCAGCTAATTCTGATTATTCAGCACAGATCCGGGAAATGGAGGCCCTGTCACCAATCACTGATCACCGAGCCCCGGACAGATATGGACATTTTGCTGTCACTTGAACCTAATTTATTGCCAACTACCACATTGATTAACCTTGTATAGTCCCACAGTGCCTCTCTACATAGGGGCAGAGTAAAAAATTCAAGAGGCAAAATGCAGGGATGTGCGTTTGGTGGAAGACCCCACCCCAGACTGCCATTACAGCCCCCAGATTACACTTTCACGGGGATTTTCACCTAAACCACTTCTAAGGCTTCTTAGTGCTGCATGCTTGCTGTTGCTAATAATTTACTGTTGATTCAATTGAATTTTCTTTTCTTTCACACTTTCCATAAAATCCCTCAGCACAGTAAAACCCCTATTTGTCAGGGACTCATTGGAGATGAATCTGCAGGAAAGGAGCAGCATTAGCTGACCGTGATCCTGTAGAGCAGAACTGTTCAATTCATGGTCCATAAGATCTGAGCACTGCTTATATTCCAGCCTTCCTTTACCCGTGAGCTGGGTGTCAAGCCTCTGTGGCCAATCAGAATCAGTAATTACTGAATGGACTACCTGGATGAATTGAAAACATGGCCTGGATTTGGAATCAAGGTCCAGATTTGAAGCTTGTGAAGCGACATCCTTACAAACCGGCTGCAGCCAGAGAGGCAGCCCTGCTAGCTGGGTGCGTTTCCCCCGGGGGGCTGCAGGAAGGCCGAGCCGGGACCATCACCCCTGCTAGCTGGGTGCGTTTCCCCCAGGGAGCTGCAGGAAGGCCGAGCCGGGACCATCACCCCTGCTAGCTGGGTGCGTTTCCCCCGGGGGGCTGCAGGAAGTCCGAGTCGGGACCATCACCCCTGCTAGCTGGGTGCGTTTCCCCCGGGGGGCTGCAGGAAGTCCGAGTCGGGACCATCACCCCTGCTAGCTGGGTGCGTTTCCCCCGGGGGGCTGCAGGAAGTCCGAGCCGGGACCATCACCCCTGCTAGCTGGGTGCGTTTCCCCCGGGGGGCTGCAGGAAGTCCGAGCCGGGACCATCACCCCTGCTAGCTGGGTGCGTTTCCCCCGGGGGGCTGCAGGAAGTCCGAGTCGGGACCATCACCCCTGCTAGCTGGGTGCGTTTCCCCCGGGGGGTTGCAGGAAGTCTGAGTCGGACCATCACAAACTGATGCCTTTTCATTTGTCTCGTCTGAATTTCAGGTGGCTGCAGTTAACAAACTTTTAAAAGGGACCAGAGACAGCGGACACGGTACATCACACTGACACACTCTGCACACTCTGTGTCAAGTGAACATAGAGGCCGTGTGTGTAGCATGTGCAATTTAAAGCAAATTGATGATTTTGTGCATTCAAATAATACTCAGATGCACATTCACTCCCAGCATCAATAGTGCATGGTGAACTTATCCAACAAAAAATGGATTGTCTTTCACAATCAGAGGCAAAATGTAAGGCCGGCGTCTTAGGTATTCGGCTAGTGTTTATTCCATAACTGATTAATGTGCTGCACACTCACATGCAGCCTAACAAATGCACATTAGATAAGACACAGAGCACTGACTGATGATTAATATTCCTGCAAAAAAGTTCTTAACCAATAGCTATCAGCTTGCAATTTGCCAAGCAGAAGAGCGGCATTAAAGACGGGCTTATTAAAAAGTATATGACAGCATCAGCATGTTCAGTTTTAAAGGCGAGTCCACCATGGTAACAGTGAACCATCTCCGTACGGCGCAATCGACTGGCACACACACTCACAGCACCAGCGTTTGCGTGTCAGTTAGCAAGGAAGCCAAAACCGCCCAACACCAAGCTGCCAGCCCTGAGCAGTCAAAAGAACCACTTTCCATTTTTAGAGAAATACTACATTTTTGTTTCACAGCTTTGCTTTTCTAGTAACTGGGATGCAAGAACAACATAGGAGCGCCCCCTGGTGTCCTGGCTATTTGCATTGCAGCACTCTAAGAGCTTTGCTGATGATGAAAGGTAGAAAATAAATATATATATTTACTGTTTTACAGTTCATTTCAGTTGAGTCTAAAAATTCTAAGGATTCCAAGGGCTTTAATTCCCAAATATAAATTACATGTGCAGAGACTACCAAGACACAAATCCCTCATGCTGTGAAGTAAAAAAAAATGCAAAAGAGCCAGATCCCAGGTGCTTATAAAGGGGCTCTTCAAATTTGGCAGCTGGAATGAGTAAATATTATATGGCTCATTATATAAATTCAGTCATGTCATAGATTTTGTGTGGTGCAGAGTGTAGTCTGGTCTGTTGCTGAAACAAGATGCTAGATTACTAGACATACAAATGGTGCAGATTTGACATTCTGATATCTGTATACTTCTGTGTGTTTATCTATGTTTTAAGGATTAAGTGTATTTATATAATCACTAACAGAGGAGACCGAGGACAATTGTTGAACAGGGTCAGCTGAAGCTGATGCTTAGCAAACCAGTACAGCTGTACTTTGAAGGGAATTTGTTTTTCCACTGTGTCATTTTTCTGCATTTTATAAAAAAACGAAAAAAATAAAATTTAACAACTGTCCCTGGTCTTCCCTAAAATACTGGTGATTCAATCCGGCATATTACAATTAACAAGATATACACCTAGTCACAAATGCTGATATCGGTGTGGCGTTCAGCAACTCACCTGAAAACAGGACAGTGTTTGCTTCTGAGTTCTGAAAAAATGTCCCCACAAAGTCAAAGTAACAGCCTTTCATGACTTTGTGGGGACAATTGGCGCCCACAATGTAATATATACATGACTGCACACACACAAATATGTCATAATTAGCATCTGGAGTAAAACCCCGTACAGACACTCATTGGGTGTAATGTAAAAAAGCTTGCTCTAGCTGAAACTTCACTCTGTCGGGGCGGCTGGCGCGCTGAGAGGGAGATATCTGGGATTAACAGGCACTTTCTGAACGGGACCCCTGGGTCTTTCTGACACACCCTTCTCCAGAATGACAGAGCTGATCTGCCCTGCTGGGGCACCAGCTGCCTTCTTGTCCATCTTAACCGCTCCATGGGCAAACCGCTCCTAATGAGGGCGTTTCCGCAGAAACTTTCAAAGTTTGAAAGTGCTGGGAAATGGTTAAAAATGGCTGGATGAAGTGAAAGCACAGCTCTGAATGAACGCCTCAATCAGGCTGCACACAACCAAAAAAAGCAACTGTCTTCCTATTTAATCATCGCAGTTCCTATGTCATGTACAAACACCACCGGCATGCAGCCTCTTCTGTTGCTCCTGCCTTTTTTCCCAAACTTTTAAACTTTTTTTCCCAAACTTTTTCATCTTTTACTTCTTTACTTTGCTTAAATAGTGTTTTCTCTGTACAAAAAGGGCCAGAGCCGCCTCTACTTTCTGAGGCAGCTGAGGTCCTCTAACATCTGTCAGACAATGCTCAGGATTTTCTATGAGTCTGTTGTGGCCAGTGCTATACTCTATGCTGCAGTGCCATACTCTACGCTGCAGTGCTTTACTCTACGCTGCAGTGCTATGCCCTACGCTGCAGTGCCATACTCTACGCTGCAGTGCTTTACTCTACGCTGCAGTGCCATACTCTACGCTGCAGTGCCATACTCTACGCTGTTGATTGCTGGGGCAGCAGGCTGAGGGTAGCGGATGCCAACAGACTCAACAAACTGATTCGCAAGGCCAGTAACGTTGTGGGGATGGAGCCGGACTCTCTTAAGGTGGTATAGGAGAGGCGGATGTTGTCCAAGCTAAGCACAACGCTGGACTTTTTTAAGGTGGTATAGGAGAGGCGGATGTTGTCCAAGCTANAAGGTGGTATAGGAGAGGCGGATGTTGTCCAAGCTAAGCACAACGCTGGACTTTTTTAAGGTGGTATAGGAGAGGCGGATGTTGTCCAAGCTAAGGACAATGCTGGACTTTTTTAAGGTGGTATAGGAGAGGCGGATGTTGTCCAAGCTAAGCACAATGCTGGACTTTTTTAAGGTGGTATAGGAGAGGCGGATGTTGTCCAAGCTAAGGACAATGCTAGACAATTTCTCCCACGCACCCCATGAGGTGCTGGTCAGTCACAGGAGCCATTTGTAATTTTGGTATTGTAAATTTGTATTATTTGTTATTGTATTTAACATGTTACTTATCTTCTTACTGTCCGGGAGTAACTGTACCCACATAATTTCCTCAGGGATCAATAAAGTATTCTGAATCTGAATCTGAATCTGAATCTGAATGAGAGCTTTCAGAATCACACGAGCCAAAATGTGCCAAAGGGGTGTGATTGTGAAAGCTCTGATGGGCATTTATACAGCTTGTATATGACATAGTAAGTGCAGTGATTAAAGAGGAAAACAGTGGCTCTGTTCATATGGAAAATATCATTGCATGACAAATATTTTCCATTTGACTCAGTGCTTCTGATTTTCTGAGAATTGACAGCTAGAGAGGCAGTCAAACAGAGCTATTGTTCAAGGCTGGCCGTTCGTCACTTTACCCACAGCATATGGCGGCCATATTTGGTCATGCTCATTCTCATCTTTGCTCGCATTACTTAACAGAGGAAGCAGACTCACGTTGTTCATGTACTCGCCGAGCAGGTCCTGCAGCGCCTGCCGCACGGCGTTGCACTCAGCCACGATGCGTTCGCGTCGGTCATCCCGCGTACACGACGAGTCGGCCATGAGGGCGGCACCGCTGATGATGCTCTCCAGGCGCTCCTCCAGCGATGGGCGGAACCGGGCCTCACTGAAGGTCAGCGGGTCCAGGATGATCTTGTTCTGGAAAGTGCATGAGAGAGTGTGAGGAAGTGATTGACAGCTACAGACCTCCATCTGAGCACATCAGCAACTCACAGCTAAAGGCCACTATCTGTGCACATCAGCAATTGACAGCTACAGGCTCCTGTCCGAGCACATCACTGATTCACAGTTACAGGCCACCATCTGAGCACATCACTGATTCACAGCTACAGGCCGCCATCTGAGCATATCACTGATTTATAGCTACAGGCTGCCGTCTGAGGACATCACTGATTCACAGCTACAGGCTGCCGTCTGAGGATATCACTGATTCATAGCTACAGGCCACCATCTGAGGACATCACTGATTCACAGCTACAGGCTGCCGTCTGAGGATATCACTGATTCTCAGCTGCAGGCTGTAGTCCGAGGACATCAGCGATTGACAGCTACAGGCCACTATCTAAACACATCAGCAATTGGCAGCTACAGGCCACCATCTAAGCACTTCAGTGATTGGCAGCTACAGGCTGCCATCTGAGCACTTCTGCGATTCAAAGCTACAGGCCTCCATCTGAGCACATTGGCGATTCACAGCTACAGACCTCCATCTGAGCACCTAGGCGATTCACAGCTATAGGCTGCCGTCTGAGCATCTAGGTGATTCACAGCTACAGGCCGCCATCTGAGCACATTGGCGATTCACAGCTACAGGCCGCCATCTGAGCACATTGGCGATTCACAGCTACAGGCCGCCATCTGAGCACCTAGGGGATTCACAGCTACAGACCTCCATCTGAGCACTTTGGCGATTCACAGCTACAGGCCGCCATCTGAGCACTTTGGCGATTCACAGCTACAGACTTCCATCTGAGCACTTTGGCGATTGACAGCTACAGGCCGCCATCTGAGCACATTGGCGACTGATAGCCACAGGGTGATGTTCAAGCACATCAGCGTTTCACAGATATAGGCCACCATCTGGGCACATCACAGATTCACAGATACAGGCCGCCCTCTGAGCACATCAGAAATTCAGAGCTACAAGTCACCATCTGGGGATATCAATGATTAACAGATACAAGCTGCCATCAAGGTGATTTACAGATACAGGTAATCCAAACAGAAATGAACAAGGAAGGTCGCTTACGCAGGAAGTGACTACCAAACACTGCAGAAAAGTAAGTAATGGGGAGCAATTTTAACTGCCAATTAATCAGACTAGGTTAAGGCACCAGCTTTCCATGGATTAAAAAAGCAGGAAGAACGTGACATTTAAACTTTAGCTGAAGGCTCTTCACATCTCCTGTCTTTTGGGTCCTGGAGACTGTAATCTGGAATGGTATAAAAGATCTAAGTAGCAATCGTAGCAGATTGCTAATAATAATTTAGTTACTATTTATACATCCTCAATAATAGTTTAACGATTCAAGTGAATTTGAACAGAATATGACAATGAGCAGCTCCTTCTTCAGTGCCCTGATAAAACTGCAGACAGCATCCTCAGCTGCTCGACCAACTTTGAGGAATCTCGTTATGACTTCATCTGCTGTCTCTCTTGCCTTTGCTAGGGTCAGTAACCATGTTAGCGTATGCAGGGAGGAAGGCAGTGAACAAATACCCTCCTGGCTTTTATCACTAGTTAGACCGTGCCGTTACACCATTGCACATCCTTCCATCCATCTTCCAAGCCCCTGTCAGCTGGCACAGTGCAGAGGACAGGGAGCCCCACGGCCTCCATCTGCATCCTACCTTGTTACTTATCTCACATATCCCACAAACACAGGAAAGTCCTCACTGCATGGCTCAGGTGTCAGATACTTTGTAACCAAATAGAAATGACCAATTGTATGAATCTCCATGAATGAAGAAGGCACATGCATTTCTGGGGTGGTTTAACAGTTTAAAACATTTCAAACGAACAGTGCTGGATCATGGTATAACAAAAACTGTATCACTCTTTTAAAAATGAACATAAATATTACAGCAGGATGTCTCTGTCAATGCCTGACAGTAAACTCAAAATGTATTTCTATATCTCTGAGAAGTGGCACTGAGAAGTGACAGCTGCAGTCAGAGAAAACTGTGACAGAAGAATTCGGACATTCTGCCATGGTGGTTTGTTCAACTCACACTGGTTTGCTGAAGTCTTCTGAACCCTGAAACATGCCATGTGAGTGATGCTCAGTCACATTCATGCACCTGCAGAAGTTACAGCCCTGAAATGCCGAGGCTGTGTGCACACAGAAGATTAGTGACAAATACAAACAGACTCCGGCCTTAATTCTGTTCAGAAGGGATAGGCCTGCACACCGGTGGCAGCTGAGATCACAGTTCTGTGCCGAATGCACAGAAGAGTGACCCTGAGGAATCAGCCCCCATTGTAATTCTGGCCATGATGGAGAGACTTCCATAAATCTGCTTCCCTTTGTATCAGAGCAAAACATTTTCATCATGGGAAAATACACTGACAGTAAAAATTACGAGATATAGTGAAAGTGCTCAGATAGTCTGTGTCATTTCCACTTAAGCACATTAACACAGACATGGGAAGCAGTGATACAGTAGATCACAGAGATACGGAAGAGATGTAAAAGCCAGGAACTCATCAACATCACAGCACTGGGCTCCTCACAAGCAGGAGAAGGAAGTTCTGTGGAAGATGTCTAGAAAAGAAACTGAAAATTTACTCAAAATCAACTAGAGCCAAGTAGAACTGATTACCTACTAACAGAGTCTATCAAATACGTTGGTGGTGCCATGAGACACAACGCAGTGTTGACAAATCACTTGCTTTGCTCAATATTGTCCCTACAGAATACAAATTATTGCCATACAGCAGAAGACGGATGTTTTTTTGTGATCAGTTCATGTTTGTTGTTCTCCTGCTCACTAATTTTTTGTTAAATTTCTCACAAACACATTGCAGTCTATGAGTATGTCCAACAGAAAGGATGAGGATGATTATGACTGGCTTGTAGAGCACATGTAGAGCTCAAGCAACAGCAGCAGAGATAAACTTTAAAATACTGATTTTAAAAACAAACATCGATGAGAAAATAAGTTATGACGACCCCATGTGAAGCAAATGATGATTTTCTATTGTTATTTATTTATGCTTTATATAACCAGGAGTACTGGTTAAGATAGGCAGCAAAATAAAATAAAAGTTTCACATAAAAGTACAAGCAGAATCAGATTAATACCACAAAAATATGTTAAAAGAAATAAACAGAGAACATACAATCAGCAGAAGCTAAAACGGATCATGGGAAATAACATCACACACCCATACATAAGAGCATAGAGAGATTAAGGGCTAAAGGGATCATGGGAAATAACAGCATACACTCATACATAACAATGTACAGAGATAAGAGGCCCTCCATCCCTGACCCTCCATCTACTGGTGTGTAACTGGAGTATCTATAGGAACCCACAAGGACATACAAAGAGCACACAAACAATCACCCTAGACATCACTGACTGCATGGTGCCTTGTCACTCTACATATTACAAGCTTTACTACTTGTACACAACTGCTGAAATAGCTTCTTTAAAAAGTTAAGAACTTATGGGGAACTTTTGTCTGTACATTCAAACATCCACATCTATCCCTCCAAATATCCATCCATCTTCCAGCTGCCTATCCAATACAGGATCACAAGGAACAGTGTCCCCAGGGTACAATGGGCAATTTAAAGACATAAATTGACCCACCTCCAACTAATTGGACTGTAAGTGGAGCACCTGAAGGTACCCATCCTACACACACAGAGCAGAAGTAGGACTCACACTGCCAACCATGGTTGTGTGAGGTAACTGAACTACCCACTGAGGCACCTGCCAACCGTCAAATCTCATCTAACTCTGTAAATATCATATTGGATCAACAGTGCTGGACAGAAAACCGAGGGCAAAAAAGATGTCTTACACTTCGGAAAATGATGAGGTGGAATGATCCACATACCTACTAGGCTGACAGTAAGATAATCTGGTACCTAATGTTGATACTTAAAACAGGCATGAAACAAATTTGGTATAGACCCTTTCATAGAAATACACATTATAAAAAAATATTAAATCAACAATTTTCTTGCTTGGGCAAATAGTAGTGAAGTAAGCACCTGTGAATCATTTAAAAACAAGGCCCATGAGAAGATTAGAAGATCCTGAAGCGTGACAAATAAACGCATCATCACAGCGTCGACAAAAGCAGGCGGTACGCCTCACATGCTGATACTCTGAAAACAGGCGCTATGCCTCACATGCTGATACTCTAAAATCGGTTTTGACGCCACATTTTATGAATTCCTTGTGTCAAATTGAGCATAAAAAGTATTTAAAGAAAGTGAGTTGTCTGATGCATTTATATGATTTTACATGTGGTGAAGGGCAGGTTATTCAACCTTTTTTTCTTTATAAGCGTGTCTCATATCAGGTCTCCTCAAACCACTCTCTGTCCCACAATCAGAAAGCTCTCCACTCCAAATCATATGTTCTTCTCTTAGATGAGGGGGTTTAGACTGAGTATCCATCACATGTAAGACATTGTAAATAAGAGCCTCGATAAACATCTTGCATTAAGATAACTTACAACCTGCCTTGTGGGACAGCAGGCATCCAGAAGGAACTTGACATAGCAGGTGACAACTGATGCATTTTCAATAAAGATCTGTGCTCTGGTCACAATCCGTCAAAAGACAAGGGAAGGTCAACATGTCACCTAAAATTACTGCGAAAAGCCACAGTTTGACTCCAAGGACAGAAGAGCTGTCATTTAGGCTAGACATATTCAAGGACCACGGCAGACATCCCACTCAAACCATGTCAGGCTTGAATCAGCCTTAAGATGCACAGCTCATTTTATTGGAGATACAGTACCATGACAACCGAGCTAAATAACAGGAACATCCGAGGCTGTAAGAAATGCCTGCTGGAGCAAGCAAGGCCTTCTAAAGCAAGCAAGGCCTTCTAAAGCAAGCAAGGCCTTCTAGAGCAAGCAAGGCCTTCTAGAGCAAGCAAGGTCTTCTAGAGAA